TAATTGGGCGGTGGTTCGTCGACGGCCAGACTGAAGTCCGGCGGCGATCGACAGTAAGGTGGTGGTTCGATGATGGTCGAGTTCAAATTTGGTGGCTACTGATAGTTGGGTGGAAGTACGATGGGATGTCGGGTAGCTCGAGCGTGGTCCAACGAAGATCGCGGTTTGAAGTCCGGCGACGGATCGTGTGGCCGGGTTTAAGGTCGTCTACGCGTTCAAGTGGCCGGCGGTGTCTGACGACACTAACGCTGAATGTCCAGTGGGCAAGTCGGCGGCCAGGTGCATGGTCCAATGATTGGTTGGATCTAAAGTCCAGAGGCGACTTGTGACACGTCGGTGGAGTTCGGCGGCAGTCGGTGTCTATGCGATGGTCCGATAACGGTCAGGCTGAAGTCTGGCAGCCGGGTGGTGGTCCGACGACAGTCGAGCTAAAATCCGGCGGCGATCGGTTGGGTGGAAGTCCGGCGTTGGTCAGCGTCCTGGTGGAAGTTCGGTGGCGGTCCGTCCTTCGCGTGGTGGTTTGATGATGGTCGGGCTGAATTTCTGCGATGGCTGGGCAGAAGTTTGATAGTGATTGACAGCCGAGCGGTGGTCCGTTGACATTAGATGGGGGTTTGTCGGCGGTGGTGCTGGAACTCTTGAAGCATTATAGCTCTCTCCAATCTCTATCCCAAAGGTCTCCCTCGTGTAGAGAGTGGGGTCTATTTATAAACTTTCATGAGTGGCACACCTCATAAATTTAGAGAAGATCCGGGGCAGGTTCGGAGTGCTCTATCAGCTGGCTCGTATTGATTCCCCGATCATAAAGGGTTTTTCAATTGTTTCAATGCCTTAACGATGTCAGAATTTAGCGATATTGGTCTCGTTGGATATGTCTCGCCGAGCCGCTCAATTTGATTGTAAGCATGACATGTTTTGATATCATTTTGTCATCCAACTAATGTTTTGACCCTTCCTAATGTGATCCAGGCCCTCGATTTGGACTCATTTGGGCTTGGGTTGGACCGATTTTGGTGTCATTAGGTTCGTCTCTTTGAGATGTTCCATTTGACTATAAGTTTGTTGAAATTGAAATTCAGATGACCTCGAAGTTAATTTTGAAAGTTTTCAACTTGAATATGCCTTGCGATTCATGCCCAATTAAAACAATTTTCGATAACTTATCAATACTATTCATTTAATAAATGAATAAGACATTCAAAATTTTACATTAATCAATATGACTTATGTGAAAATCTGCACTTATAGTCTTATATTATAGTTAATTATAATTTATTTATTTTCATCACATCATTCATTTTAACCCCCATCATTTAATGAAAAGAATATGTACTAACAATACTATCAGGGGCAGAATCTCGTTAAGGCTAGGGGGGCAATCTGTACTATTTTTTTTTTTTCATTATACTATTATTTATGAAATTTGTTCCCCTTTAATATTTTTTTTAGCCTTTATTACAAGAGTTTTAAGGCAATTACCCCCCTAAAAATGTTAAAATACTATGATCTTTACGCAAGTGCCCCCAATATAATTAAATACATTATGTGATGTGTTATTATTAGGGAATGATGAATCAAATACAAAGAGAAATATTGACCCTGCGATCTAACCGGGTAGGCCGAACCCTGCCAGGGGTTCTGCCCTCTTGGACCCCCAACATATACGCCAACAATTACTTATAAATTTGCCCCCCCCACCTGAAAATTATGGCTTGCTCTGCCTCTGAGTACTATCAATCTTTAAAAGTGTTGATTTATTATATTTTTAAATTAATTATTCCATTAAATATTAAAGAATAGCATATAGCTTCAATAAAGTATAAAACAAAAATTAATGATGCTGACTATGTTTATAGAATAATATTTTTTAATTAGGTTACTAGTTTTCTCGAATTGGCCGGTTCAATTGATTGAAACGGGAAGTATTTTTTTTTTTTTTATTGTTGTGTTGACCCATTTAAATTTTATAAGAGCCGTTGAATGGGAGTAATCCGTTTGAGATGGTTCAACGGAGACACGATGATTAGTGGCTAATGATAATGGATTAAATTATAAATCACAATTACGAAATCATTAGTTCATAACGCACATGCAAAATTTGATTATTTTTATGGAGTTAATATTAGATTATTATTCTTAGTTTAATAAATTCATAATGATTATTCTTGCGGGCTAGAATATACGAGGCGATAGAGTTAGATTTTTTCGTCTTAGCGTTCTACGGATATTCAGCACACAAACACATGATTTTTTAAGTGGAAAATCCTGGGTCATGCCAAGTTGAAATGATTCAACTAGTGTTTGAATATATTACAAGTATATGGTTCGTCCTTGAAATTGAGGACGACCATATTACAATCTTCAACCGCCAGGTTGAAATCTATTAACGAACATATATAGATCAGATGAAAGTCTTGTGTCAATCGGTGTTCAGGCAAAAGCCGGCATCAGTCGGTGGCCCGACAGAAATCTGACGTCAATAGGTGGACGGGTGGAAGTCCAACATCAGTCGGTATCCATGTGGAAGTTCGGTGGTGGTCGATGAGGCATCTGGTGGCAAGAGAACTCTAATTTTTTCTTCTTCATTCTCTTCCTTGCTTGAGTCCCCTTTTCATGAGGAATGAGTTGTCTATTTATAACTTTCTGAGAGTAGCATGACCAGTAAATAGAAGGAAGATCAAGAGTAAGTTGAGAGTGGTTTGAAAGGACGGTCGATGTTGATTCCCTTGATCGTTGACTGTTTATTAGGCATTTGAATATCTTAATGATATCAGAATTTGACGTTCTTGGGCTCATCGGATTCATCCATTTGAGCCGCTCGTTTCGACTATAATCATGCCGTGTTTGGAAAATTTGATGTATTTAATATAGAATATACTAATTCCAAAATTAATTTAATGATTTTAGGGTTTATTTTAATTAAATTTCAATTAAAAAGAGTTCCGACAAGCTAATGTAAACACAAATCAAATAATTATATATTAAAGGTTGGATTTCGGAGAGATTATAATATTTCATGATTGAAACTTATTAGCGCGTCAATCACGTTCCAAATTAAAATTAATTAGTGCTAATAGTCACGTTGCTTAATTAAGCTGTTCTTGTTAAAGAAGACAGCCTATTTAGGCTTGTGATTAAATTTCCGATAAGAGATTAGGTAAAAAATAGTAGAAAATAGAGGGATTAAGGACTTGATCACGTGCTTTGCATTGACATCTCTTACGAAATCTTCAGCGGGCCCCACAAAAAATTTTCAATATCTTAATCAGCTTAAATTCTTCGTACTTTATAATTAAATTATTAATGTTTTTATATCTTTATTAAGGTCATTAGATAAGGTAGTATTATTTCGTCCAAATAATAATAATAAAAAAAATCTTATGAGTTAAAAATTTCTAACAAATAAATAGTGAAGAGAAATTATTTTAGAAAATGGAACCCTTCTGGTTGATATTTTTAATTATATAAAGTCAAGGTAGAATAATATTTAATTGGTCAAAATGACAAAAAAAATATCATGACATGAGAGAAGGAGAGTTTTAACACCATAG